GAGGCAAAGCTGGAAGGGACACAGAGAGTTCTTGTGATACGGAGTTTCTGAGAAGTAGTTTATGCAGGTTAAATCATGATTATCCCCCAGGATATCCTGAGCTGGCTTGGGATGGCCTCGCTGCCTTGGATCCCATGTCAACCCCTTCCTGACTTCTGAGTTCATTTCAGCAACGCCCGCTACCGCATTTGACATATTCTCCAGCACTGGTTCCATTAGGAAGAAGCCATCAAAGTGCTTCCAAACCAGTTTCAAGACAGATGCTATAAGAAATCATGGCCGGTTCCTGCAAAAAGCACACAGAAATGCAGCRGAAAGCACAAGGAAAAGCAGGCAGCGAGCTCTGACTTACCCCGTTGACTAGTGAGGAGAGGAGAGGAGGCAAGTGGAGCGAATGGAGAGCACTGTGATGGGGAGCCTTTTATACGCCTCGAAACCTTCCTCCTGGAAATGAGACATTCTTCAGCAATTCTGACTTCACCGTTTATCACCCAGTCCATGCATTTGACATCTCTTCCGGTGTTTAATCTTTGCCTCTTTCCATTTGCTCCCCACCTCCGTTCTGCACCATAATTAGCTGTGCACATAAGGTGCAGGTGKAAATTTTCTAATGGATTTGCATTACAGGGAACTAGAGGAGGCTTTAAGGTATTCGTATCCGCTTCCTAAGGAATGACCTTGGGATGCTTAACTATTCGCCTCGGGGAGGCTGGGAGCAGCGGGAGARCCATGACTGGAACTTGGGAATGTCACTGCTCACGTGCCCTCCCTTGACGCGGATGGGACTTTGGGGGACAAGTGGCAACTATTGGCAAATGCAGAGTCTCTTTTTCTGCCTCTCTGAGGTAGGTGTGTGGCCAGAGTTAAGACTGAATAATTTCTCCTTTCTTAGGCTTGTGCTTGGCTATCCCACATTGTTGCTTTCTCATCACCCGTGCTTCTTATTCTTCCATTTCTTTCAGTCCATCCATGCAAGGGATGGGCTGAGTCTCTATCAAGCAGCTTTTGAAGTAGCAGAACACAAATTTCAGCTTTTCTCCGTGTCGGGATAGGGAAGGATCCATGGCTATGGACAGGGCTAGGCCTGGTCTCTGTAAGGAGGAGGCAGCGTTGATGGAGTTTTCATTTGATGAGGGAGGGCATCAATATAAGAGAAGACTCTCAAGATACATAAACAGCATTTGTTTGGGCCAATTAAAGGTGCCATCATGATCAGCAGATCCTGACTGTGAGGCTGGCTGGTGGCAGGTGACCCACGGTGGCTGGGACACGAAGTTTTTCCCAGGACGTGAGTATGGTCTCCCATGGCATTGAGTGTCTCTCCTGGAATTTTCCCAGGGGAACTTTGCTCCAGTCACATGATAGTAGGCAGATACCTGCCTGCAGCAGGTAATATCCTCTTTGTGTAACCCCTCAGACATGCAGGCCATCAAATAAATCATTTATTTCTTTTTTTAATCAGGTTTGATTGCCAGAATTTTGGTGAAAACCATGTCCGCATAAAAATGCATATGAACCTGCGAGACTGTYGGTGACCAGGGTCTTATGCTGAAGCTGTGGCAGCCCTGGGATTTAAGGTGTCAGAAACAGCACCTTGCACAAGTTCAAATTCCTGCTCTGCAACACGCTATGCCTTTGCCAGCTTCCACAGGGGTCAAGAAAATCTGGGAATGACCATATTTTCTGAAGGAAGGACGCTGTGATCCCTGCTCTTTCTGCACATGCACAAGTTCATATTCAYGAGCTGCTTAATAGGAGATATTTCTGTTACGGTGTGGTATGGGGAACACTTCTGCCAGTTTAGTGAAACTTATTCGCTTATTAATCAGACTCTTAAAGACCTGAATAAACTTTTCATGAGAATCCTAGTAGAGAAGATTATTTAAATCCAGACTTTGTGTATGCTCCGAAGGTTAGTTAGAGGGAAACAATCAAGGGAGTGCTCGAGGCATTTTCCTTAGACCTACAATTCACAAATGTGTCCTGAATTTTAATAGCAAAGGAAGTCCGTGCCAGGTAGAGAGGCTCGTTGACTCATGGGTGTGCTATTTTAAGAATGGAGCTTTTAAGTTGTATTTTAGTGCCAAGGTTTCATTCTGGTTGTTGTAATGCAGGAATGCTGCATKCAAGACTCGAAAGGCTCTGCTGATATAACAATGATTAATTAAAAATAATTAATTTTAATTAAAAATAAAATAATTTTAAAGTGCTCCCTTGATTTTATTTCTGAAGACAGCACTGGAAGAAAATGGCACCTGGTGCTCAATGAGTAGTGAAAACCTCTTTCAGTAGCTATTGAAATTCCAACTTCCAGTATCAGTGATGAGTTTCTATGTGCATTTTCAGGTGAAGAACTATGCATGCTTCATTGCCCATGTGTTCTCTACATTTTCTTTAACGTAAACGATCAGTTTTATAGCCAAAATCACGATGAGTCTCTGAGGTAGAGAGTCAGTACGTGAAAAGGGTATCACATTGTTCTGGTGCCTTAGACATGGCCTAATATATGCCCATGGAAAGTGGAGCAGATCTTTATGTTTACTGCARGCTCTGACATGATATGGGAGTGCAATCATGAGAAGATGGCACAAAACCAAATAGCACCAGAGTGAGGACTCATTCTGGGCAGAGGAACGACAAGGTAGTTTAGGATTTGCTTAAGAATAAGTTTTATTGTCTACCAGTCAAGAGAGAAAATGAAGAATGATTTAATTAACAGCAAATGAATCCCATGTCCCATACACCAGGAAGACATATATAAGATTTCCTTGCCTTATACAGTGGGCAATATATTCAAGTACTCTACAGAAGGCTAAAGAACAGAGAGCAAGAAGACAGCTTAATTTCCAGAAGAAGAAGAAAATCACTGCGTATTTGCTCCATCATGATGTGAACCAGAAAGCAGTGGCAGGTTGTCATCTCCTGGTAGTGCCTGGTCCTGTTGCACTCGAGAGATGGCAGTTGCCCGAGCTGCTTTTCCGACCTGAAGCAGGATCCTCAGCACCTTCTGATGGAGTAGCAGCACTGCTGCAGGGGTACGCAGTACTTCCTCAAGGGAGAGCAATAAGACACTGGGCTGCAGCTCATTACGACTGGCTTCTTCACCAGGGTTGAGCAGCAAGACAGGGATCCACAGCAGCAGGGGCTGCAGCCGCAGCGGCTGCAGGGCAGGCACCGCTGGGTGCAGCAGTAGGTGGACTTCTTGCACGGCTGGATGCAGCAAGTGGACTGCTGGCATGGGTCACAGCAGGTGGATTGCTGGCATGGGACGGAACAAGTGGACTTCTGGCATGGGTCACAGCAGATAGACTGCTGGCATGGGTCACAGCAGGTGGACTTCTGGCATGGATCACAGCAGGTAGACTGCTGGCATGGGTCACAGCAGGTGGACTTCTGGCATGGATCACAGCAGGTAGACTGCTGGCATGGGTCACAGCAAGTGGGCTTCTGGCATGGGTCACAGCAGGTGGATTGCTGGCATGGGTCACAGCAAGTGGGCTTCTGRCATGGATCACAACAAGTGGGCTTCTGGCATGGGTCACAGCAGGTGGATTGCTGGCACGGGTCACAGCAAGTAGGCTTCTGACATGGGTCACAACAAGTAGGCTTCTGACATGGGTCACAACAAGTGGGCTTCTGGCATGGGTCACAGCAAGTGGGCTTCTGGCATGGGTCACAACAAGTGGGCTTCTGGCATGGGTCACAGCAAGTAGACTGCTGGCATGGGTCACAACAGCTAGACTGCTGGCATGGGTCACAGCAAGTGGACTGCTGGCATGGATCACAACAGCTGGTCTTCTGGCACGGGTCACAGCAGGTGGACTTCTGGCACACCTTCACACAGCAGCTGGCCTTCTGGCATGGGTCACAGCATGTGGATTTCTGGCACATCTTCACACAGCAGCTGGCCTTCTGGCATGGGTCACAGCAGCTGGACTGTTGGCACGGCTGGCTGCAGCACACTGTCTTTCCAGAGGAGCAACACCCGCAAGAGGACATGTTTTAGGTGGTTGTAGCGCAGGCAGAACCAGAGGAACAGAGACCTGAAACACCAAGTATGCTCAGATACACTCCATCTTTGCAAATTTATTGAGCTGACATCTCAATAAAYCCATAGACTCTTTGAACCACTCTGCGAACTGCTTTCCTTTGCACATCTATGAATAACCCTTCATGAACTACCAACCCCAACGTTTTACTCCTCACTCCCAAAGCCTGAGCTCTTTGGCTCTGTCTTGCAGCAAGCAGTATGCTAGGAAAGCTTGGACTCAGGCAGAACTGTAAATCAGACACAAAGCCATCTTCAGATTTGTTGCTTGACCAGAACCCTCTTAGAACCTTTGTTAACAGAGAACGTTGCCAGAAGGTGAACTTACCGTGCTAATGGAGCGGTGTAGTTGAGTGAGGAGCAAAAGGATGGGAGGCCTTTTATTTAGCTCAAAATTCGCCTGTCGGAAATGAGATACCCCATAGCAATTCTGACTTCATCATTTACCCACCTAACCTATACTTATTCATTGAACGTGCCCTCATCTGCCTCATTATTTTTGACCACCCCCTCGATTTTGTGTTATTAGCAATTTGTTCTGTGAATTTTTTACAGTTTTTTAATGTCAAGTTAATTCYTGTGAACTGCTTCAAAGGTATGTTTCTGCTTATTTTGCATATGGTAATGTCATTAGASAGATATGCTAGGTGGCTTGTTCAGAGGCAGCGAGTGCTAAATTAACATAAAAATCCTAATTATCATTAAGAAGTGATGGATTCCAGAGGCATGGGGAGGCCTTTTGGGCACCTGTCACTCCATCACCTGTGATTTGGTTTTGGATGTAGAAGCGGCCAAGTCTGGTGTCTTCTTTGGGGTCCTGGTCATCAGAAGAGTAAATACGGAACAGAAAGTTCTTGACATCTCATTCCTTGTTCCAGGCATTGGAAAATGTATGTACTCTGCTTTGCTAGTATGAGAAATTTTAGCTGAAAAAATTGTGAGGAATATTGGAGTAGAGTTTGGGTCAAACTGGAGTCCAGATTTTTAATTCCCTTCTGACATTTTTAAATAAAAGCGAATCACAATGCTTTTCTTATGTTTCTGCTTAGCACATTTTGATCTTCAAAATTCCAATTACATTCCTTTAAGTCCTAGTATACCCTCAAGCAAGGAAAGACCCACCTACGGACGTCATTTTTGGAATCAACTCTRTGCTCCCTTCTCAGTCACCTATTGGCAGTCATTAGTGCTGATGCTAATGATCATGTTGCAATTATTCATTAATGATGTCAGTATTTATTTTACATGCAAGCCCGAAGGCCTTACATGATATGCTGAGCATCTTAAGAACTTCAAATTAATCTACGTGTTTTTTAAAAAAATGTCCCTCTCTAGTCAGAGGGAATTCACAAGACCCGGGACCATGACGTATATCATTAAATTTTTCATTTCTGAGATCATTTAGGGATGGAGGGCAGCTTCTAGTGTTGTGAGTCTGAAGGGAATTCAGACCACCTTCCCAGATAACATGCAAGAATTCATCATATCTCTGGGCAAGCTCTTTCTAAAGTTAATTTTCCTGTCCTTGAAACACAGGCTTAATTTCCTATTGAGTTTGTCTAGCTTTGTGCTAATGATCTGGTCAGACTAGGTTGCTGCCATATGTTAAAATCTAATTAGAGGCACAGATTTATAGCAGTTGAATGCGGGCATCTCTGCTGGCAATAAGAGAGGATCATGCCAGTCTAGAGTATGGCCTGGAATGGACATTTGAGCATGGAGCATATGGAGAAAGGACTTTAGAAACATGCAGGTGCTGAGGAAGAGATGTTAGTCCAAATGAGGCAATTTTTAATGTGACTTCATACAGCTCTGGTGCATTACTTCATCCGTCACCTGCTAAGCCAAAAAAATACATTGCTGTCACCAGATCTGCATTTGCAAGTCAACAACAACTGAAGTCATGTGAGAGAAACCCAGGCCAGAGAGACTCCTGACCAGGTTTGTAGGAGAAGGTTTATGAAGGAAAAGCCCAGCCCCAGCCATGTCCAGAAAAAGATCCCAGTTACATTCTGAATGGAGTAGGTGAGCTCTTGAAGCCTCCATAAGATGCCCAAAGTGCTACTGGGCTGTTTGGCTTTGAGAATTACGTAGGAGGTGGAGCAATCCTTCCACGAAGGAGCTAATGCAAATTCTGTGTTATTAAACTTCAGGGAGTTGCTCCTGGTTAATCCTGGTGGTGGAAATCCGCTATTACGTCGCTAAACACAGAGCTGGGATTGCTGAGGTTCCTTTGTCCATTTAGGGCACACGGATGTGGAATCTTCCTCTTCACAAATTTTATGGTCTTTGATTTTTTAATGATTCTAACGAGGTAAAAGCTTTGATTCTTGCTGTCCCGATGGTAAACCTTTCCAGGACTGACAAAAGCTCTGAGCATTTTGTAGGACCGAAAAAGGAAGAGGAAACAAAATACTCTGCATTACTCACAGAACAGAGAGCTCTAGACCTTGTGCAGGAAAGGAAAGTGAAGGAGCAAACAAACATAAAGGACAAAACTTCTATGAACTGAAAGCCTTACTGACTCATCACTCTCTAATTCACAGGTGAAGAGTGARCAGGGAAAAACAGTGTTCCCAATGGCTGCATGAAAAATGAGCCAGCCCTTAGTAATGGCAACTAGACAAACGTCGGTCTGCAATTAATTATCCTCCGCACGTCGTTTATAGCTTTTCCTCTTTAATAGGCCATTCTTCTATAATGACATTTTTTCCCATAACTTATTTATAAGCAATTCCTGTTAGGTATTTACTGACTGGTTATTTACTAGGGACTTCCAGAAGTCCATTCCCACGCCTGCCCAGGATGGGTGAATCACACTCGGGAACTTTCTCTCATCACACACTGCAAAAACTTTTTAATTGAGGCCGTTCCAGCTCAGGTTAAAGAACCTGCACTATTTGCTTTGTTTTGTTTCCAAATATAGCAGTGGCTTTCAAAGATCCTATCTGCAGTAAAAGCATGAACGCGCAAGCCAGGCCCCCGGCTATATCTTGAGCTCACATCGCGTCTGCTGAGCTCGGTGCACGTACTCTGCTTTCACACCTGGGCATGTTCCCCTGGCACATGGATGATGCCCTGGTACTGTTGGCAGCCACCGCGGGCAATTCCTGCTGCTTTCTTCTCATAGAATCACGGAATGCTTAAGGTTGGAAGGGACCTCTAGAGGTCATCTAGTCCAACCCCATTGCACACATAGGGTTACCTACAGCACGTGGCACAGGGCTGCATCCAAGTGGGTTTCAAAAATCAGCTTTCTACAGCTTTCCATGAATTTTAGCTATTGGAATCACTCACTAAAGCACACAAGGGAAATCACACCCAAGACGCCATCAGGCAAGTAGGTATCAGTGAACAGTGACTAAACACACCCAGCACTATGTGGTAGWCTTGAAGCAGAATTTTTATTGTCTTGCTGGAAACAGAACAAGAAAAGCAAGACGGAAAGCACTAATAGCAAACATTGCATTGGGCATTGGCAGCAAGAGCACAAAGAACTCAAGGATGATTGAGATACATCACCCGATCACTACGCGACCCACCGGCTGTGTTAAAAGCATTTGCTTGCAGAGATAGGCAAGGATGAAGCAGGAGAAGAATCCGAGGAGGCAGTCAGCAGATGTGGGCTCTGGGATGGATCCTGTTGTTAATACTTGGGGTAGGAGGAGGGCAGCTTGCAGATGTTCTTGGAGTACTGGGGGCAGTACTGCACCGGGGGGCAGTACTGCAGCAGTGGAGGGCAATAGCGCTGCACTTGGGGGTAGCACGGCGACACGCAGCTGGCCCTCTGCACGGGCTGCACCTGGATGGTGTAATGGCAGGAGGAGTGGGAGTCGTGGCAGGAGGAGCGGGAGCCGTGGCACGAGGAGCGGGAGCCGTGGCAGGAGGACTCGTAGTCGTGGCAGGTCCCGCGAGAGCACATCYTGCTCGAGTCCTGATGGAGCTGTTGGGAACAATAGACCCTCCTGGTGMAATGATCCCTCTATTTTCTTCTTACTTTTTACTYGTAGTTTTTCACTGGAGCTCCCCAGGGACCTCCTTCTCTGTTTCTTTCTCCTGATCAACCCTTCTGAGGTCCAAATGCTCCCTTGTTTCTGCCTAAGCATCAGGGGTTGCTCCAGCTCTTGGTGCACTGAGCTTAGCCACAGCGGTCCAACACAATAGGCCCCACAAGCTTCCTCTCAATCCCCATTTACATCAATAAAATCTTTAATTGAAGGATCTTCTCCCTAATCATAAGCAGAAATGGTAAAATTGGTCTTACCCTCTTCAGCTGCAGGGAGAAGCGTCTGGAAGAGAAGACGAGCAACTGAGGAAGACTGGGCTGAGAGGGCTTTTATATRGTCCCAGTAGTTTATCTCGGATATGAGACATCTCTTCGCAATGGCAATTTAATTATTTACGCACTCAACATGGCACGTGCTCACGCTATCCTATTTTTAGTGTTTCCGCTTTGACACGAGGCGTTTTGTCCCATATTAATTCCTAATGAATTCCCTATAAGGTTTCGGGAAGGTATTTCTTCCCCGTTTCCTGGTGACTGTCACTAATCTCAGCGGTGTTAATTAGCTTGCCAGTGGGCAACTGGGATTGCATCAGGGACAGAAGTGTCTTGATGTCTCAGAAATGCTGACTCCTGGAGAAGTCCTGCTGATCTGGGCAAGTGACAGCTCAGGATTTTAATTTACGTGTTGCTTAACGTSAAGACGAAATGGGATTGTCACCTGCGAGAGCTGGGCATGGCGTGATTCTGGGAAGCTTAGCTTGATCTCTTGAGTTACCCGACAGGGTCAAAACCAAAATGTTTCCAATTCTTCATCTTTTCAATTTGCCAGATGTCCTTGCTGATCCTAGCAGCTTTCTCCACTTATATCAAAGATCACTTAATCCTTAAGATCAGAGAAAAAGGCCTAGCACTGAGCTCTGCTTGGTGGTTTGTGCATTTAAAYGTTCCTGTTCTTGGGTTGCTCTTTCACTTTGGTTCTTCCTAACTCCTTGTAGCTGACCTCAGCTGTGGAGGTGTATGAAGCGCAATGGATTCAGAGAAAGGATGCATTTCAGCTGAAGTTCGAGCAAATTTGGGCTCTGGCACTATGGCAAAGTTATGGGATTTATAATCCCATTTGACTTGGTCTTTGAAGTATAAAAAATGAAGCCCTTAAAGCAGTGACTTTGGAAAATGTTACCCATTAGACTAATAGACTAAATGCTCACAGGAACCTCTTCTTCCTTCTCTCTRAAATAATGGTGTCCTACAGCCTTTCTTGAGGCTAGAGCTGCTGTAATTGTTTGCGGTGAGTTTTGTGCAGCTCAGAAGGTTACATGGGTTCCTCGGGCCATTTTGTGACTCAGTTGTGGGTCAAAAACTGAAATAGGCTGTAGCTGCCCAGTCAGTGAAATGAGTGTATGCCTTGTCTCAGTGCTCATCATCCAYGGCAGTTCTCGTTTCCTTTCCTTCACTGCCTTGTGGGGGACCTGCTCACTGATGCTCCTGCTAAACCATTCCACCTCCTCACCTCAGTTCAGAAACTGGGGTGTCATCAGATTCCACCTACTCAAAAACATTCCTGAATCTTTTAAATACAGGTTGAGAGATGAAAAATGTGCTTTCCAAAGAGTTCACCCATTGACTGAGTTGTTTTTTACAGGAATAAGCAAGGAAAGCCTAGTCTGCAAGGATGAAATGTAATTTTTGGTCATACATAGGTCATTACTTGCTTGTTTATGTTCAACGCTGTTTTGTTGTGATCTATCCATAATGGCATGTTTGGGAGTTATTATTTGTGTTATGCTAGTGCAGTCTTATATTAGATGAACCTTCTCTGGGCTAGCCCATTTCTCTATTCCGAAGTATATGGTTAGAATATGCCAAAACTGGGATACAGACTTGAAGCTTTTTCAGTTCTTTCTGTTTTTCTTTTCCCCTCTACTGTGTCTGTTTACTTCCCAATGCATGGAGGAGTTGTTGCTTTAGGTTACCAAGTACTATGGAGTTTTCAAGTATTGGAATACAGGAAATTGGACCAAAGAACTGAGAAAAGAGGGTATCTGAAGAGAAGAGTGAATAAATAAATCGATTAACGATGCATGAATCTCATGAATAGGAAGCTTTATTTTTTTCCCACGCCCAACTGAGGCTGAAGCAGAAGTGCATACATAAAAGATTCCTAACAACAATTACATGCTGAATAATTAAAAAGGACATTTTCTGAATAATTAGAAAGAATGGCATCCTGAAAATTAGAAAGAATGGCATCCTGAATGATGATTAGGGGAACACTTCATCCAAAAGAGTGGCAAGGTACATTGCAGACATCCAGGGGTTTCAGTAGAACGAGAGGATTTGTGGCCGTAGCATCCGAGGGAAGAGGGAGCTCGCAGCTCCTGGCTTGGCAGCAGATCCCATCCTGTTAATACTTGGGGTAGGAGGAGGGCAGCTTGCAGATGTTCTTGGAGTACTGGGGGCAGTACTGCACCGGGGGGCAGTACTGCAGCAGTGGAGGGCAATAGCGCTGCACTTGGGGGTAGCACGGCGACACGCAGCTGGCCCTCTGCACGGGCTGCACCTGGATGGTGTAATGGCAGGAGGAGTGGGAGTCGTGGCAGGAGGAGCGGGAGCCGTGGCACGAGGAGCGGGAGCCGTGGCAGGAGGACTCGTAGTCGTGGCAGGTCCCGCGAGAGCACATCCTGCTCGAGTCCTGACGGAGCTGTTGGGAAGAGACAACCTGTCACCCTCGCATGGAAACTCSRCTGCAATCTGCAGTTTCCTCAGCTGTTTCTCTGTAGGATTCTGGGCAATTCATTTTGCTCTGCTTCGTAATATAAATGGGAGATCATGACCTTGAAAGTGACACTGTCTGTTTTTTTGTGAGATACTCTGCTGTTTCTGTTTTGCATGGTCTGATTCTGGTAAGAATTTTGTTAAGATGCTGCTGCTGACTACTTTGTTAGGCCTAGTTTACTTTTAAATTTTTACATTGATTCATCTGAGATCTCCCTCTTGCTCTTCACCACCAAATAGTTTAGGAATTAATTCCTTGATGCATCCCAAGACAGTCCCTCAACTATTCCCATTTCTCTGCCATCCTATCTGCACAAGGACACCGCAAGAGTCCTTTGCACAGCTGAAATATACAGGCACCTCTTTGCATACCAAGAACTGCAAATATTCTAAGACTAATAGAGGATCAAACCAAGATATCCAAGGGATATCCAAGAGGATATCCCACTGCTAAGCACAGTACCGATCACCATAACCCAACTTACCCCTTGTCGGAGCAAGCAACAGAAGAGAGATGTGAAGCCGAATGAAGGAGGTACAGGGAACAGAGCACTTTTATACTCTTCCAAAGGGTAGCCCAAGGAATTACGCATTTCCTGGTAACAATGACAATTAATTATATCCTCACACCAATGTTTATCTCCCGTGCCTAGTTTTTAGCATTTCCTACTTGACACAGCGAGGAAAAAGCAATTATGTATTTTCCCATAAGACGTTAATAGCCTTTGGATTTCCTAATCTGCTTTATGTGGAGATTTTGAAGGTYGTTGCATGCATACATCTCAAGAACAAACCTAACCCTAGAGTTATTAAGTGATTTGTTGTTGGGCAACCAGTATTACATCAACTTACAGTTCAAAAGTGTTGACTCCTATCCTGCACGCTGCCCATTTGCCTGCATGGCAGGCTCACGTTTTGATTAATACGTCTTTTTTTCATAACATGAGGAACTGTAATTAGCAGCCACAACTCATATGGACTGTACTTGGGGAGGTGGGAATCTAGCTGACTACCTCTAGCACACTTAATGTCTCAACACTGGAAATGGCATCTGGCGAAGGATGTTCCTATGGGCAAGGTTTTTTATTCAGTTTGCGAGTTTACCAATTGTAACATGCACTTCTTTTTTTCCTTGTTATTCTAGATATTATTCTATTTACTTTCTTTTTTGAAAATGATTTCACATCCTAAGAAGAAATGATTTGGTCTTGGAAAATGTCATCACTAGGTCACTACTAGCTTTACACTCYTGACTTACTTAAGCAGTTTTATAATTTTTCTCAGTGCAGTATTTCACTATTTACTGTGGAGCKTCTCTTAGAGTGGTCTAGACCTTGACTTTAGGATAATGCAACGCATAGTAGTTTCTTTCTCATGGTTTATACTCAGGCTGGCGCTGCAGGAATTCTTTGGAAGTGCTCTGTAGGCCAGTCCTGATGTGATGAAACTAGAGGATTCCCAAAAGTTGCGTGCTGAGTTCTCAAAACAGGAGSTATTTGTATAGAGATGGTCTTCATCTCCTCCAGGGCTTATCTGCACCGAGTTTCTTTAGTTGTTCTTCTTGATTTTGCAAGGCCAAGTTTCAGGAAAAAATAACAMAGTCTGAAAATGAGCCCTTGTGTAGTAAAATTCGATCTGTGACCATTCAGAGAGCTCTGTGAGTTTTAAATAGTGTAGTAATGTTTCCTCTAGGTTGTTGAAGGGTTATTTTCTGTGCAGACTCTTGTGTTAGTTGTATGCGTTGTAGGGTGCATTCTTTTCATCTTGTTTTACACATTAAAAGACATTTGTTTAAATTTAAGTCTGTGGTCTAACTGCTGTTAAAACCAATGGAGAGGAAGAGTCACTGGAAGAAGYAAGCAACTCATCCTGCTCTAGAGTAGCTGTCCTAGCTAGATCGCTGACAGCTGAAGAGATAAAGATAGTTTTGATTTGCAAAACAGTGGAGAGCAATTGAGGATCTGTTTTTAAGTGTACACAGTTTTCAATGAAAACAGTAATTTGGAGATCRTTAAAAGAAGGAGGGTTAGAAAAGTCTTCGGGACACCTATTTGCATTTATTAGACAACTCAGTGCCTTTTAGTCTTGACTTAAAGTGGCAGATGAACTATGTGGCYCTACTGAATGAGGGAACTGAAAATGTGAATTCTTGAGTAAGAATGATATACACGAGCACCCTATACACTATACACAAATATATAGAAGTATATCTGGATTTATCTGCTTTCATTCACTTTGAAAGTTTAGGATTCTTTTAATGATACGTTTGAGAAATAAAAGATGAGGAAATGGTGATTTATAAGTCGGAAACTGAGACAATTTTCTACTCATAAGTCAATGAACAAATAAATCATGAACTTTCGCTGCTTTTGGAAAGCAGATTTTATTATCTTATATGTATGTTCGGAAGTTGACAAAGAAACATCACATGTAAGCTGCCACCAGCAGAAATCATTCAGGAACTTTGACAGGATGAATCTAAACATGGACTTGCATGCCAAATAAATTAAAATACATCAAATTCCTATTTTGATAAAACATAGAGGAGGTGCGTGAGCATTTATGCAAAATGAAGATGATAACAGAGGACCAAGAGCATCCAAGAGCATCCAAGGAAGATGGAAGCTGGAAGATGTGGGCTCTGGAATGGATCCTGTTGTTAATACTTGGGGTAGGAGGAGGGCAGCTTGCAGATGTTCTTGGAGTACTGGGGGCAGTACTGCACCGGGGGGCAGTACTGCAGCGGTGGAGGGCAATAGCGCTGCACTTGGGGGTAGCACGGCGACACGCAGCTGGCCCTCTGCACGGGCTGCACCTGGATGGTGTAATGGCAGGAGGAGTGGGAGTCGTGGCAGGAGGAGCGGGAGCCGTGGCACGAGGAGCGGGAGCCGTGGCAGGAGGACTCGTAGTCGTGGCAGGTCCCGCGAGAGCACATCCTGCTCGAGTCCTGATGGAGCTGTTGGGAAGAGACAACSTGTCACCCTCGCATGGAAACWGCCATTGCATCCTCTCCCTTGTTGTGGGTTTCCTAGGAAGCTCTCTGCTCTTGTTAATCCAAGGAGAAGGCAATGCCAATGCTGCTCAGGTACCTGAAGATAACCTACGAATCCTACTAAAAACATGATCTTTCATAGACTCAACGTCTTTTTGACCAAATTTGGTTTTGATCACAAGATCCATTGCCCATACCAAGACTCAKACTGCCCCATCCCCTCTCCTCCAAAAATGTGGAAGTGTCTTCTCCGTTAAATCCTCTGGCTGTTTCTGTAGCTTCAAGGCTTTATTCAAGATTTTATTGAATCTGATCCTCTTCCTATTAAGAACATATCCCACTTGTAATTTGCATCAATAAAATAGCTTCCCTACAGGGATTTGCTCTCAAGTCTGACCAATGCCCAGCGGTAAGAAGCGAACTATAATTGCCCGGCTCTACTCAAGTTTGCCTGAAAGCAAATGGTCATCACTAGGGAGAAACAGAATAAATGGACTTACCTCTTCAGCAACGGGAACAAATGTATGCGAGTGCAGAGCAGAGAATGAAGAAAACTGGGAAGAGAGACCTTTTATACTCTTTCAAAGGGTTATCTAGGACATGAGACATCTCTTAGYAATAAGCGTAACCTAATTACATATCCCAGCCCATTTCTACCCRCTGTATTCAGCTTCCGACATTTTCCCTTTGATGCCTCGTATTTTTAGTGTTATAATTGTCCCATTGGATATTAATAACACTTTAATTCCTTTATGTCTCTATGAAAGAGATTGGAAGGTATTTGTGCACCTATTTCACGTGAAGTGACGCCAGTACCAAAGATATTAAGAGATCTGGTCATGGACAAGAAGTATCAGGTGGAAGAGATGTTTGTCATTCAGAAGTACCAGTTCCTTAAGCTGTGTGGGGATGTCACATGGACCAAGAGTTAAACTCGACTGCATGACAAAAAAATCCCAGAGATTACTAATGGCAATTCATATGGATGATACTCATGGCAGGAATAATCCCTCTGAATTGCTCAATGGTACTGGATGTTTTAATGAGAGATTCAGCATTAGCTGTAAGAAGTTCCTTGCTCATACTTTCAACCTCACTGCACAATGTCCTGTGAAGGGTTTGTTTTTCTCCTGCAAAAGATGTMATTTTAGTACATATGGCAGTGATACCAAATCCTGGATCAGAAAAATCTGGGCATGCCTGACCTCCCWGAAGTGAGATTGCTTTCAGTTCCCATTTTCAGAAGCAGCTAAATGATTTCTGGAGCTCTTTAGGCCCTTCTGAGATGCCTGTCAGTTGTGGTTGTAGGAAGATGGGCCGTGCACTTGCTTCCAGGTTAAAATTCAAACTCTTTCCTTTCATGACAATGTTGAAGCCAATATTTGGACTATTAACYGAGGTTTGAGGGCTCTCCTGCCCTGATTTCAATACTTGGTCATGGTCTTTTGGTAACTCTTCCAAAATATGCGTTAGATAGTGTGGTAGTTCAAGAAAAAACAAAATAGTGTAATGCAGTACAGGCAGATGTTTCTGAATCTGGATTTTCCYGTGAATCATGGATGAACTCAGGTCTTCCTCCCCATGTCTACTTACAGGTCATGCCCATCTAACCCAGCAATTACATATTCTTGTCACATAAAAGGCAAGCATGTGTCAACAATGGGATGGCACTGTGGGATTAGACGTCAGGCACAACCGATTTTGARTGATCTTCTACTGACTCACTGGAATCCCTCGAACCAGTTCGCTCGCACCTGCATCTCAGTATCACAATATACAAAACCAACCTGTAAATATTTTGTGGCAGGTCTCATGCAGGCCTTGGTTAGGCAAAGCCTTTAGAAATCTTTGATCCTGGGATTAGCTCTATTATCATGTAAAAGAGAGAAGAGTGAGTCGGGTGAAAATGTCAGGAATGATGGGCAGTCGATAGAACTGGCTGTGGTCAGGGGAACAYGAAGCCCCCATTCTCCACTGGTGGCTCACCACTCCAGCCTCAAACTATAAAACTCTCCCGCTCCAGTCCGTTCCCTTTAGTAAGACTTTGGATCGCCCTGTTGTTGTCTAAAGTAAGTGATTACAATGGGTCATGAAAACTTATTTTTCCATTATAGATCTGTGTTTATCTACTGTGTCTTGACATAGTTCTGCCTTAATCCAACAGCTTTTTTTTTTTTTATAAATAGTGCAATAGAGAACCTTTCTATAGAATAATGCTTATATTTAATTGGTAGCCTATATCCGAATATTTAAAATAATATCATTTTTTGACTAATATCCCATTTGTGGGAGGAATGGTATAGCATTTGAGACTCCAATCTCAAGATAATATTTTTTATACAATATATATAGAAAAAGTACAAAACTGCYGTGGGAAACTTTCTGTTCCTGGTTAGCTCTGTCTCAAAGTTCAGTAGTCAAAAAATATCTGTGTAAAGGTAAGGGTGGTCAAACACTGGAACAGGTTGCCCAGAGAAGTTATGGAGTCTCCATCCTTGGAGACACTCAAATCCTGATTGGACACAGTCCTAATCTATGTCCATTCAYAGTCCCATACTAGCTGGTCTTGCTTGAGCAGGAGGTCTGGACCAGATGATGTCCAGAGGAACCCTTCCAYCTCCAACTAGTCTGGGATTGTGTAAAAGCGATTTGCTTGCTTCCATCATAGGGAAGAACCTTCGTTTCAAGTTTACCCGTTGACCCCAGATGAAGTGCTTTCCTGGGAAGGAGTCATTCTTCAACTTGAACTCCACCTGGAATGACCCTGTAGTCTCCTGGCTGGACACTGCTCTCAGGGGACACTGCTCTTCTACACGTATGGCCGTGTAGCACGTTGCGACCACGGTAGGGTTTCATGTGAGGGTGGACACAACTACTGGCACTAGGGCTATTGCCACACAGGTTGCTCTGAGAGTTGCAGCTCATCAGCACCGTGCCATGGAAATGGGTCTTCCCAATGTGCTAGGACGTCCGAATGGAGCTATGGGAGTTCAGGGAGATGCTTGAGCGACAGGAGGGCTGTCTGTGCTGAGCGGTGCCAGGATTCCTTCCCCCTCATTTCCTGCTCACTTGCATGAGGTGCTGTCCAGAAAATGTCCTCTGTAGAAGTTGTCCTCTGTTCAAACATCACTGGCCTTTGTGTTTTGTGGTGGGAGGGCTATTTCTACTGAATTCATGCAATCCACTTTCTGGCTGTATATGCTGAGATAAAACTCACAACTACAGAGAGATTTGCTGTCTCTCTTCCTCAAGCTCGTACCAAGGATGTGTTCAAATGACACAACCTGCAGCGCTCCAGGTGAGCTGGCAGCGTAGGTGAAAATTTGGACTGCCTAGAAAGAATCAAGACGGGAGATTTTATCTCCCTTAAACCTTTCTAGTCAGATTGAAACCCAGCCCAGAGCCTCCTCTGGTTTGATTGCTGACTCCTGCTTGGTGCATGGTGGGTTCAGCATTGGCAGATGATGGTCTGAGSATCTGGGTGGACGTGACTGTCCCAGGACACCATGGAAAGCCCCTGTCAGAGCTGCACAGCCCTGACCTGGCCACTATGTACCACAACATACTAGAATGCTGCCGCTCATTATTTTAATTAAGAGCAATAATAAATCAAGTGCTAATAGTAAGTTCCTTGTTCCTTTCAAAGATTTCGTACAACCCTTTTTTTTTTTTCCTAATTAAATATCTAATGCATTACACACAATGCTGCACTCATTCCACAGAGGCACCAATTTCCGTAGTAATCTGCCTCTACATTGGCAGACAGCGGAAAAGAACCTAGGGATGAATCCAGCGAAAGGAGAAATGCAGCTGTAGACTTTTATGGACGGTTGTCCATTGGCTAGTCCCTCTTGAGGGATTAACAAAAGATGCATCTCTCCGCACCTTCATTTGCAGACAGGTTTTCTAAATCCAGGATCCAGATTGGTCTGGAAGATGCACCAGATGTGGGCACCRAAGAAGTGACCTTCTATGTGTCACTGATATGGAAGTGCAGTGGAAGAGGGGAGGGACGCAYGACTTCTGCAGCTGTAAAAAGCTGTGTTCATTAACAAAGATGGAATTGGGAGTGGTGCTAAGATGAGGCAGAGCTAATGACAGACGCACACACCAGGACACCAGGATTCTTTGTGAGCTTTAGGTTTTAATATCATATCTTTGCCACTGAAGACAGAAGCAGGCGATCAATGCATTCAAGTACTGGAACACGAGAGAATAAATCACATTTCTGGCACGTTAATGCCACTTTGCATTATGAGGCGAAGGAGGGACGATGTGTGCGGGAGGGAAGCGGCAGGGCCTGCCCAGGCTYGGGGCTGCATCTTGGTGGGGATGCGGGAAAACGCAGCCCTGCAGTGTGCGCTGACCACGGGCTCGCCCTCGCGCCGTCACTTCTGCTGCTGCGGGGGCCACTGCGCGGGCTGCTTGATCTGCTGCTGCTGCTGGCAGGGAGCGGGGGCCACGGGCACCTGGGTGACCACGGGGTCCTGGGGGGGCAGCACCACCACGGGGGTGACGCCCGGCACGGGCCGCACTTCGTGGCACACGACCTCCTCGGAGCCGTGGCAGGACGAGCGCTCGCGGTCGTGGCAGGAGGAGCCGCCGCCGTGGCAGGAGGAGCTCTCGGTGCTGTGGCAGCCTCGGTCCCCACGGGAGCACATCTCGGGAGCGCTGAGGAGCAGAGGAGCCTCGGTCAGTGTGCACAACCGGCGCTGCTTCCCCCTCTCTGCCCTGGGATCCCCTTCCTTCCATGCATTTATCAGCCCATGGTTTCTCATCGCTCATCTCCCGAGGCTCCGTGGCATCTGCCTGCCCCCCTAGGCTGGGCTTGAAGCCTCCTTCCTCCAGGGCTGTAGCAGCCAACACCAGCCAAAGGCCTTCACGAACTGCCGTGGCTGCTTAAATCTCCATTTCTGCCAGACATTTCCCCTCTATTTCCCTGG